ACATGCCAAGTTTGACTAAATTTTATTAAGTTATCGTCAAAGATATCAGACTTTCTTGACACGATCTCACGGTGACGTCACAACGTCAAAATATTTTAAAAAAAGCGAGATAAATTGAATATGAATAAACTGTTACAGTCATTCTTCATCAATGAAGCTGTATTTTTGAGCAAAACAAAACCTCTACAGAAAATTGAAGAATCAGTCAATCAAGATTACGTTCATTTCCACGCAGTGTAGGACATCATTTACAAAGGATCTGCTTTAGCTACTGTTTTAATATTGTAGTTTACTTTTTTGTTTTTACTTAATTTCCACCCCCATCAATATAAAACGTAAACTTAAAAATAACACTGCTTGTTGTTTATAGACAGTCATATTCTATTATATATATATATATATATATATATATATATATATATATATATATATATATATATATATATATATATATATATATATATACAACAAGTGTACACACTCTGCTCGGCAGACAAATCATAGATAATATACAAACAGGTTATAACACTGCCACGACTCCAAGTGAAATTATTTAATAAAAAAATATATATATAGCTTTAAATTTTCGGCAGCATGCCACCGCCTTCGTCTTTGGCAGTGTTATAACCTGTTTGTATATTATCTATGATTTGTCTGCCGAGCAGAGGGTGTACACTTGTTGCATATATATATATATATATATATATATATATATATATATATATATATATATATATATATATATATATATATACACTGGATCCAGAAAAGTTTGACCTTCGAATATATATATATATATGTCGGCCATTTTGAATTTTCTTGGGTTAATTATACGCGAACGCATACATCAAATGTCGCTCGCAACGTATTGTATATTGCAATATTATTCCAACAGCTCAAATGAATAAAAGAATCATTGATTGATGTCTTTGCACATAATCATAATGGCTAGTAGGAAATGAACATTTGAAAATGAACATAATGGCTAGTAGGAAATGAACGTTTCTGCTTCGCCAGGTCACGAATGCTGCGTGTGCTGAGTTTCAGGGGATGAAATATCGAATGACTATCGATTCCGTTAAAATTTCCGTTGGCAAAATATAATAGAGAGTTCGGCAAATACATGGGCAACCGCAACGGCAATATGGTCATTAACAATAGCATTAATCCTCAAAGACAAAAGGCGAATGTAAATTACATGGTCTTAAGCGTTGTGCAATGCCGTAGTTGTTGAAACTAATACGTGATTTGTATCATTTTCACGGTGCATGACTACGGCAACAATTCATTCGTTCGATGTTATTTGAGAGTTTTATTGAATTCGCGGACTATTTTTATTTAAGGGTACGTTTGAAAGAAACAGGAATACTTAATGAGGCAAATTAAGTGTAGTAACGTATACTTTGGCTCAAATACAACAATATAAGCAATTATATTTTCCCCGTTGCAGTTGTCGTTGCCGTTCTAGGTTGCCAAACTCTTTAATATAATAATTCTGGACGTAGGTTACAGCTATAAAATAAGCACAAGTGAATACGAAAGAATAAACAAAGAAATTCATCGAGGCATGCTCATAAGCGTCTAAATCTCTAAGGATGCAAAAGAATAAATTACGACATGCCAAAAAGATCAGGTTCCAAATTGTGACAAGAGTTAATTAGCTAACAACCCTCAAATGTTCATTAGATAGCTACTACAAATATGTGTAAGAACTTCAAGCAATGATCCTCTACTTATTTGAGCTGTTGGAATATTGCAATATACAGTACGTTGCGAACGACATTTGATGTATGCGTTCGCGTATAATTAACCCAAGAAAATTCAAAATGGCCGACATATATATATATTCGAAGGTCAAACTTTTCTGGATCCAGTGTATATATATATATATATATATATATATATATATAATCAAATATCTGTAATCGATATTTTGATAACAACATTTCTCGTAATAATCCATTCTGACTCACAGATAGCATAGACTCGCAAATCATAATGAAAGAATTAATGAAAGGGCCGAACAAAAGAGATAGAGCCATTTCTGACGATTTGGAGACACAACATTTTCAAAATTTCCCCGCTCTGTACCAACCATGATGGCGCTTCATGGGAGTTTGGACCTCTAAGTTTATCAAGCTGGCTTCCTGAGTGACCAAGTTGTGGTATCTACATAAACATACCATGCAAGTACTTCACTGAAGGTTCAGTCTATCTACAGCATAATGTAATGCTGTATATCCAAAAATCTGTTTCAGAAAATGCAGGAATTGCAGTCATAGGGGTAGAAAAATACAAAAATTTTATGCGATACCACACCAAACTTTTTGTTACCAACAACCATCTATCATTTCTCCACACTTGGTATAGTATGGTCCCTTTTTGTAGATGCCCCCCCACTGACGAATTCTTAAAAAATGCCCTGTTTATAACGAAAGTCGGTTTATAACTGATATAGTAACTCGAAAGTCGGTTTATAACTGATATATTGCCCTCGGACGCTACGCGTCCACGGGGGCAATATATCAGTTATAAACCGACTTCTCGGTTTATAACTCTAACTTATATTTAAGCCATCCTTTTATAATCCATTCTCTTTTGGTCTGTTTCTTATCAGAAATGTACCAAACAAGGTATTTTTATCGCTATTTGTTGTATTTGAGTAAAATGTAAACAATAACAAAAGCACGCAATGCATGACCCTGACACTAATCCTTTAATCCTAAGTCGTTTGGCTATGTCTCTGGGCTGATAAATAATTCCTTACATGCGATCAAAATGTTTATGCAACGATGTAAAACGGTAATGTTTTGTGATGGGTCAGATAAATTTCCAACACAGTTTTTGAGACGCAATTCAAGAGGTAACTTATCATTGGATTTGAACTATTATATGAGTTGGTGTTATTCTGTGCGATTAGCGAGTATTATCAGAAAGAGGGCTTTCATATACGTTGAAATCACCAAGTAAACAGCTCATGCACAAATTTCTTCACTTCGTCGTAAATTTATCGAGCAAACTTTGGCACTGATCTTTGTCTTTGATGTGAACATTTATTATTCTAGTTTAAGATTATTTAAGAGTGATCCTGTTGAAAATCTTGTACCTGCAACCCATCGACAATATTTCATTTTAGTGTTGTCTTTACCATTCCGTTGGCTTCGCGTTACCTTTGTTTTAAATACCTTGACCGCGTTAATAATTAAAAGAGTTATTTCTCAGCCCAGAGACATCCTTGTAATTTTATAGAGATAGAGCTAGAACTGAGGATTCTAGAAAGCTTTATCTGCACCTTCTCAAAGTTGTAGACAAGTATGTTGTTTATGTTCAACATAACTCAAAATGATTCGGGTCTTTTGTTAAAAAGAAGACTGGTTAACAGAAATTGGTCCTTTTGAGTGACATAATCGTTTGTCGTCATCGATCCGTGTCGTTGAACATTGAAAAAAGTTGTCGTGAAATTAGTGAAAATAAAATTCTAGTTTGTGAGAAAACTGCAGGTCTACGTAGCAGGAACTTTTCGGATTTGAATTCGAAAGTGTTAGTCCCCGTAAAAATATTTCAGTTCCAAGACATGGGAAATGAAAGTAAACGATATCGGAACGCAGCAAACGGCCTATTACAAAAGAATTAAAAGTCTTGACAAAATGCAGTTTAATTTTAAAGAAAGCGATTTTGTCATGCATATAATAAATAAAAAATCACACGGGCAAGTCGTGCAATTAATAATGGTACTTGAGGTGAGTGGTGTGCAATTTGGACTGAAATCAAACGCGCGATTACAAAATCGCACGACCGCGAAGCGGGAGTGCGATTTGTAATCATAAGTTTGATTTCCGTCCAAAATTGCACGACACGAAGTTCAATTTCCACTTTATTATATTAATTTTGAAATCTTACTGATATTTTTGTAAACCGGAAACGTTTTTGTTTACAAAAGACACACCTCCAGTACCTCCCTGAGTGCTGTAGCATAGCAACAATAAGCGAACAAGATGAACTTAGTTTTGTTTATAATACGTTACTTCAAAATACAACAAAAATGTTAAAGAAATGAAGACATTTAAGAGAAATGAAGACAACACAACTAAGTTTAAACATATTGTACGTTTTACGAGTGGTTTGAAGGAGTTTTGGTGCAGTTTTGTGCGTTTAAAATTGGAAATACGGTAGGTGAATTTAACTTTGTTTTCCCTGACGCTTTAAATTTGCTTTTTTGGCATTTTCACCTGTTACTATTTGTGAAATTTCAAAAAAATTTAAAATTCTTTGCAATTCTTTGATAGTTCACTGTAGCTATCCATATTTTTTGTTTTTATGTGCAAAAAATTGCTTGGGCACTCAAGAGTATATATATAGATCATGACATATGTAATTTTTTTCTTTTTGCTCATTTGCCATATCACATTTTCTTTAAAATTGCAATATTGGCTGTTTGAGTCATATGATTAAATATGATTGGTTGGTTGAAGTCAACCACTCCAATGTGATTGGTTGAAAGAAGATGCGATTTCAGCACAAGTCGCAGTGCGATTCGTGCGGAAATCGCACTCCTGTTAACCAATCAGATTGCAGGACATACCATTGATTTCGAAATGAATATAATAAATGATTAACACTACTCGTGATATTTGAAAAATGTGCCAAATTGCACTCGCCTCGGCGGGTCGTGCAATTTTGGCACATTTTTCAATTATCACTCGTTGTGTTAATCATTAATTGCACTCCTTTCGGTGTGATTACCTATACTAAATTTTGTTTTTGCCCAGTTTCTACCCGGAGGTCCCAAACGGAATGAACAAAAAATTAAGATTTCTTTAGATCCAGGTTGCTACTTCCTAACTGAAACCGCCCCATAAATCCCTTGCAGGGCGTGTTTTCTTAATCCGTTACATTTGACCATCATCAACTGTATATAAATCACAAAATTGGGGAAGTCACTTAGTCAAAAATTGGATACAGCTTTGATCTACTATGCATAATATCGAACTTGCAAAAATTCACTTGCAATCATTTATACTTTCCCTACCTTTTTCTAGCGATTGTTGTTCTTCACATTCATCTCCTTTCTTGCTCATCTGATTCAGTAGAGGTATATCAAGTTTCTCTCCAACGTCAACCGGAGTAGCAAGTTGCCGTCCATCACCTTTATCATTCAGCTCATTTGGTAGAATCGGTATATAAATTTGCTCTGCAACATCAGCCGGTGTAGCAAGTTGCTGTACATCTTCATTTTCGTTTACCTGATCCGGTACAAACAGTATATCAAGTTGCCCTTCAGCTTCAACCGCAGTAGCGTGTTGCTGTTCATCTTCATTTTCGTTTAGCTGATCCGGTACAAACAGTATATCAAGTTGCTCTCCAACTTCAACCGTAGTAGCGAGTTGCTGTTCATCTTCATTTTCGTTTAGCTGATTCAGTACAAACGGTATATCAAGTAGCCCTTCAGCTTCAACCGCAGTAGCGAGTTGCTGTTCATCTTCATTTTCGTTTAGCTGATTCAGTACAAACAGTATATCAAGTGGCCCTCCAGCTTCAACCGCAGTAGCGTGTTGCTGTTCATCTTCATTTTCGTTTAGCTGATCCGGTACAAACAGTATATCAAGTAGCCCTTCAGCTTCAACCGCAGTAGCGAGTTGCTGTTCATCTTCATTTTCGTTTAGCTGATTCGGTACAAACGGTATAACAATTTGCTCTTCAGCTTCAACCGGTGTGGCAAGTTCTTCACTATCATCTTCGCTCACCTGATTCGAAAGAATCGGTATGCCAAGCTGTTCCCCATATTCATCTCCGTACCAAACCAATAATTCAGCACCTGCTTCAATTTCTTTATACACTCGGTAGTAAACATCTCCGTGATATTGAAAGGCGATGAGGTTTTGCTCTTCTTCGTCCCGTGCGCAGTTGACGAAACGTAGCCAGTTGCTTTGCGAAGGATCTATTCCATCTATAACATGAGTAGTTTTTCCACCCTGGACAATCTGAATAAAAAATAGTGATTTTATGATTTCTTGAATAAAGGAATTTTTATCCCGTACGATTTCGAAAATTATATTGAAACGATGAAGACACAAAGAATAGTAGCTACCAAAACACGGGGCCATTCAACAATTACATCATTAAATTCCGAGCGCTTTTAGACACAACCCTCTCCCCCCATAAATTAGTGACAATCAAATCTCACTCATGCCATGAATAAATTTGTTCACTGACCTTGATGATCGTTATCAATAGCCCCTTCCACCGTATGTAACCAACTGCCAGATAGGCAGTTATCCTATCTCCTTCCTTCCGATGAAGACGTAATTGTTCATTGGTTTGTGTTAGGAAGACATGAGTTCCTCTGACGGGTTGGCTTTTCCATTGTATGCTAGTTTTGGCATTTTATACTCCTACCAATTCTTGTTTTTGATTAAGAAAATGCTTAAATTGTGCTCAAGTTTTCAAAATTATGCTAATGTGTTTGAAACGTGCTTTGATTTAATTTGAAGAAATATATTCAGAATAAAGCAACAGTGTGTTTGACGTCAACTGACTAAAGTGAAAAACATTTCTGGACTCGAAATAGGAAAACATATAGATAGATATTCAATAAATTTCTCCCTGAAAGGGTTTTTCAGAAATTATTTAGAATATTTATAACCACGCACAAAGTTTAGTATGTTATTAAACGTTCTCCTTGGCAAGCAAATGTTTTTTTAAGTGCTGTCCTGAAGATTTTAATTAAGGGAAGCGCTATCTTTCAAGTAAATTTGTTCCAAATATGAACAGATCTATAGGCGAACGACCGTTGACCAGCATGTGGCCGACCAAACAATAGGCTGCCCAATAGCTAGGCGTGTTAAATGTTTGACTAAAATATTAAAACTTTTAATAAAACGGTTTAATACGTAGAAAATGTGTAATAGATAACAATGCATTTCTGCAGTTCTGGTCGCGTGCTACTGTCTACGTCACTCACTGGATATTCTAATGTTTTCATGACCATCGTCAATATCCCAATTAGCCAGCGTGGCCGGCTCTTTTATAAGTAGAGCCTGCCCGAAAGCCCTAGTAAAATTGATACCGCCTACTTAGTTGATATTCCACATTAACACCGCCCACTCGAAATAGTTTTGTATACCTGGAAATTAATAGTAGACGAAGACCGTTCAAAATTATATTATGCTTTGCACCTGTATGCCTGTACTACAGTTATAAATATTGCAGTATTAATTATAATAAATGACTTAGGAAAAGTAAATAGACCCTTTCCCGTGTTATACACGTTGGCAAGCAAATGTATTTTAAAAGCTCCAAAGAGAGCTTCGTATTATTATGGTGTATTAAACACAATGGGGAATGTATTATTTCATATAATCATATTAAATTTGCCAGCCAGCAAAATATAAACAAGGCAAGGACAGCCAAGGTTTTATACTCTATACTATAGTGACCATACGGTAAAATCATACGACATATGCAGTAACAGCAGTGTGGCTTGCCTTATTCTGTTTAGATACCGGCATATGTTATACATTTTACACTTTGTCTTTTGAATTTTAAATTTTAGTCGACAGGTTTACAACTTTAATATAGCGATGCGGTTTGTTTTTACTTATATTTATTTTTAAATATTGAATAAATTAGCGCAACATGTCAATCAACCTGTCGTTAATTCACAATGTGACCTGTCTGTCACAATTCTCGGTGGCTGGCTGCCGAGAGTGATCAATTTTACTACGGCTTTCGGGCAGGCTCTACTTATAAAAGAGCCGGCCACGCTGGCTATATCCCAATCTACAATTGACAAAGCGATATCCAGATCAAGATTCAAATTTCTTTGCACATAATTCTTAAAATCCCGTGATCAAAACACTTTGTATTGGTTTTTACTATATAGTAGACTTTCCAAAGTTCTTTCCAGACCCCTCTGTGGCGCGCTTCACTTTCTCTGTGGAAAGGACTTTTGTCCCTTGCAGCGCGCCAAATAGCGGTGAAAAAATCAACTGGTTACGTCATTGTTTACATTGAAGGCCGAAGCCGTTTACATTATTGATTATTATCGAAGGAATCTAAGAATAATATTATATTCTCAGGCTTTTTTGTTGAACAAATATTTATTATTGAAGCAAACAGAGTAAACAATGTAAATACAATTTTGTAGAACACAAAAACCATGTGAAAATACACAAACGGCAAACATTACATTAACTATGAGTACATACAGCCTACAGGGCGTAGAAATGCATGCATCTGATGATTCTAAAATTTCCTCATAGACGGCCAGCCAACCTCAATAAAAGTGTCTCTAAAATGTCATTGATGGCATTTTTTGTTATACAAGCTGGCAACTGGCGTTTTCGTATAGCTTAGACACTGGAGAACAACCAGTGGCGTAACGTTATATCAGGGGGCCCCCGGTTCAAAATTTTCGAAGGCCCCCCTAGTAGAAGTACCAAAGGCACGAGTCGAGCGCCGTATATGCACGAGTTTTCTAGAGGGTCCAGGTCATGCTCATCCGGAAAATTTTTGAATGTAGACTCTCTGAAATGCCATTTCCTGGACTTTGGGGAGAGATTTTACAGAATTCTGATGGTCATAAAACGACATTGTAACATATCAGAGGCCCTGGCCAATGTTTATGCTCTATCGCCCAAGCCTGGAGGCCCCCATTTGGGTTGGGGCCCCCGGGTTCTCCCGGTCTGAGCCCATAGTAGTTACGCCACTGAGAACAACGTTTGATAGGTTGCCACTTCTGATATTGACTTTAAAGTGAAAAATTTTGAGAATCTGACAATTTTGTCTATTAAAATTACTATACTCACTAAATTATAAAATTTGAAACCAACTTTCAGCAAAAATCACCTATATAATCAGAAAGTTCGGAAAAAAGTAGATATAGAACATTTAAATGAGAAGTGTGAATTATAACCCTGTTTTGAGTTACGGGCGCTTAAAGTTGCTAAAAAACAGGTTTTGTGACGTCATTCACCACATTTTACCTCTTTTTAAGTGTCCATAACTCGAATTTGACTAAATAAATCGTATTACTCGTTTAAATGTCTTATATGTACTTTTTTATGCTCTTTCTAACGATATAAACGATGCTAATTTAAGTGAAATTCAAATTTCACATTTTTTCGGTGGTATAATAATTTAATAGGCAAACTGGTCAAATCCTTAAAATTTTCTCTTCGTTCGTTAAAATCAGAGGTGGCAACATATCAAACGTGACTCACCAGTGTCTAAGCTATAAGAAAACGCTTGTTGTTTGCTTGTAACAAAAAATGCCATCGACAGTAATATTTTGATCGGCTGGCTGGCCGTTTATCACTAGTAAGTTTCGAGTTTAGTTTGGGTTTCTTGTTCTCGATTGCTGATTATTACAAATTCGTTTGTTGAGAAAACAAGCTTTACTGGCGACGTCTTCTCGTTGATCACAATCGCCGCCTCTCTGCTTCTTGGTTACAGTTGCCTGATTCTTTTCAATTAGAATTAACTTATGTTATACGCTCGCGAACTCAATCAACTATCTTTAATAAGTCTAATAAATTACTATTCTTGTCGACACAATTACGACACACAACCGTCCAGATTCAATAAGTTTTTACATGCACTTGTTTAGTTGTTTTTGTTGATACATCAACAGCTTTCGGCGCTTACTTGTGTCAGTTATTTCGTTTGGACACTCGGTGCAAACTGTTTCATTCGAGGACAAAGAAATACCATTCAATTCTTGAGAATATTTTTGTGTTTTTGTAGACGCATTGTCGGTGCGCGGTGAAATAATTGTATGAAATGTACACACCCTTTTTAATATGTCAAAATTATTTGCGCCAAAATTTTTAATGCGATTTAAATTCCTGCAAGCGACACAAGTCGACCACTCGCGACTTCGTCGTTCGGGTCGCGCCCTCCCTTGCTATAGTAAATTGCATCACCACCACCCACACGATTTTTACCAGTCATTTCGTATCCTGGTATGCTGAGAACATACGTGCTTATCGTTTCATCGAGTCTACTTTCGTTAATACTTACGATGTCGAATGGTTCTTTTTCAAGATATATTTTCGATTCGTCAATGTGCTTGACGAGTGAAGCAATATTTACATGTCCAACTCTAAATCCTTTTAGTGATCATAGAAAATTTATGTTATTCTCGTTCTCTATCTCTACATTTTGAAAATTCTTTCTTAATTAGATTAGAAAACGCCACCGCAACCTCAGCATGACGGCTGAGCATGCAATACTTTTTGTACTATTGCATTTGCACGATAGCAAAATTTGAATTTTAATCCCATATCAACTGATCATAATCAGCAAATTAAAACACCAGAATCTAAATTGTGTTTCTCCTACCTACTGTAACTGTTTTATTTAACTATTCGGAACCTTAAGATTGACGTGGGGGGCGCTAACCCAAAATGGTAAACTGCAAGTCAATTTTGTCCTCAACCATTGGACGCCATTTTGTTTTCTCGAGAATTTCGCCTGCCGTTTTAATTTTGACTTGGCAGGTCAAATTTCCCCCCTGCCATATCTCAAATGGACATGTGAAGGCCACTAAATCGATCCCTGCATTAGCTAGCAATTCATTAAAAAAACTACCGAACAATGCTCATTAAGCAAAATTATAACGAAAAAATGCTAGAATAACTGGGAAGTCTGAGTCTGCCGACTGAACTAAGAGAAAATAGTGGAAAAAATATGAGTAAGTTCTTCCCAAAAACCTCTCTTCTTCGAACCCGAAATCAAGAAAACCGCGTAGCAAGCTTTTCATGTTCTTCTACACTCTCGAGATGTGGTAAATATACTGCACGCTAGCTAATAGAATATGCAAATTTCTTTAGGTGACTCCCTACACGTTTTAGAAAAATGGAAGATTTTCTGATTAGGATATGAATTCCTAAACAATTATTATATTTGTTTAAAAACAAAGAATATCTGACTGGTATATAAAACAAAACCAAGGAATCGGAATTTTAAAAAAATTACTGTGTCCGGAAATGGATTGATATGCCCGGTGGACTTTATCGCCTGTAGGTGACGTCACCTACCACGCCATCGGAAGTGCAAGCTCAGCATGTTTTTTAGGTATTCTGGAAAATTGTAAAAATATACAACAACATTGTAAAGCTAAGGGCCTGTTCATATGGGCAGAAGTTATCCCGGTTAGCGAGAAACGTTTACAAGCGAGATCTCGCCTTGGTATGAAAATAATATGAAAAGTTACACTGCGTTCATATGAGACAAAAAGTTTTCCCGTGTACCGAGATCTCGCTTGTTGACAGGCGAGATCTCGGTGACCGGGATAATGTTTTTCCCATATGAACACAACTTTCCCGCTTAGCGGGATAACTTTCTGTCGTGTCAGCAACTTTTCAATTCAATTGATGTTCAGTGCCACGTCAAAGCCGAAAACTTTACCCGGTAAGCGGGATAAAGTTTCTCCATATGAACAGAGCAAAAGTATTTGGCTAGTCGAAAAGTTTTCTCGGTAACTTGGATAACTTTTGCCCATATGAACAGGCCCTAATTATATTTGTTTTAAACCTTTTATTGTGACTTGTTGTGGCATACATATCCTTGGAGGCGGGAATCCCCAACACTTGGTACCTTCGACGGGATTTTAGAGCTTGGTGAGCATACAAAAACAACGAATAATGTGATTAATTGTCGTCTGTCGAATTCTAGTTCGAGATCAAAGCTTTGCGGGGCGAACATTTTCGACAATGGAAGTCGCAGTATCTAGTTGCTGAAGGGAAACTAAAGACAAAATTCATTCAATTAAACATAACAACGAATAGAACAAAGTTTATTGTGGATAATGGTCAAGCAGAAGCAATAGAAAGACATCAGAAAACTCTGAGAACTGTGATAAATGAAGTACATCAACCGCGTATACAAATCGAAACGCACAAAATAACAGAGTGAGGGACGTAAAGGACGAGGAATTAGATGCGTGGAATACAAATATAATGACACAAATTGCAAATGGAGATCAAAGTGTGGAAATCTTGAAAGAGTGGTTCAATAGTCGAATGACAGAACGCGAAACGTACGAGAGAGAAAAGCAGATTAATTAAATTGAAAGTTAAATTGCAGGCGACCAAAGCTAAATTCAAGGCAAAACACACACGAGGGAAATCACAACAGTTCTCCCAAATTTCATAGCGAAGAGACAAATATTCAAGCGAAATTACCTAAATTAGTCATCACCAAATTTAATGGGACATTTACTGACTATAGAATAGATTTTGGGGACAATTTACAGAGTCAATCAACAAATCCAGTTTGCCAGCAATTACCAAATTTTCATACTTGAGAGAACTGTTTGATGACAAGGTCAGGAAAGCTGTACAAGCCCTGCCATATTCAGCAGAGGGTTATAACAGAGCAGTAGCAATCCTTAAAGAGCGGTACGGAAAAGAACGCGAGATTGTTAAGGCTTACGTGAAGGAAATATTAGAGCTTCCACCAGTTCTGACAGCCAATGCGAGGAAGATTCGTGAGTTCTATGAGAAACTAACATACGGTGTACAATCACTCCAGACTATGAATAAACTTTCTCAAGTAGACGGTGCAGTAGCGATGACTCTAGGCAAATTGCCAGCTATCAGAGGTGATCTTGTTCATAATGACTCTGACAGGGCCGGAGAAATGGGACTTCATACAGCTTACAGAGGCTTTTCGACTTTGGACGAAAAGGAACTCGATCACTGAGAATGCCAATTCCGAAGACAGGGATCGAAAACGAGACAGAACGGGTCGGAATTACCCCATTCGTCAAGGGACGGGAACTTCACATACATGTGTATATTGCAATGCTGCAAATCATAAATCGACAACCTGCCCAACCGTTAAAACATCAGAAGAACGCAGGAGAATCCTAGCAAATAAAAAAATATGTTTCAACTGTACTGGACCGTCCCACCGAGCAGCGGAATGTAAAAATATCGTGACATGTCACAACTGTGCTTGAAGACACTGTCATGGCATTAGGTTAAAATATCTATAACTACATGAAGTACTTAGTATGAGCCCACAGTTGGAACTGCTGGTCAGTATCTTCATATAAAAGGAACTGTCCGCCATTTTATTAGTTAGTTGTGATTTAGTTAGAATCAGTATAATAAAGCATTAAAACATAACAATTGGCGACGAGGATGGGATATTTGACTAGTTTGGGTAAGATTGAAGAATTCAGACCAACCTCGACGAACATTGCACGCTATCTAGAGCGTATTGAACAGTATTTCGAGGCAAATGATGTGCCGGCCTATACTGCAGAAGTGAACAAGCGAAGGGCGATTCTTATCTCTGCTATCGGTGTACCAGTATCCTGAGATCGTTAAAGAGATTTGCGATGGCCTGTATGTGGACGACCTCATGGCTGGTGGTACAACAGTTGACGATGTGCAAACAAAGAAAGCCACAGCCATTGAAGTTTTCCAGGACGCATCCTTTAATTACTGCAATAAGCCCTTTCAAGGTTTATTCCGCCATATTGCCGGGGGTGCAAAACATTGGGGCGAGCGCGCGGCCAAGCCATGGCTGCCATATATTTTACTAATGAGTGAGCGATAATTTTGTGTGGACATTTTGTTGATTTTCTCATGCTATATTAAAAGATAGTCCAAACTTTTGTATTCTGGCTGATCTGTGTGTATTTTCAAAGTACTGGTAAAGATTTCAATGGAATCGGATTGGGGGAAATCCGTAAATATGCTGATTTCTTCGACACCTTTCGGCCAGCTGTTTACAGTGGATTCACGACAACGAAACGCCGAAAACAGGGCTTTTATGTCTGTGTTTGTTTAAACAAAACAACATTACAAAAGAATCATGTTTAAAAACAATACAACAAAGCTGTTGGGAAAGAAGAAAGACGTCCAGGTGCGAGGGTGTAACCTGACGCCGATGTCAATCTTACCTTTAATTATATGGCATACTATTAGTAATTAGATATAAGACATAAACTTCTAAAAGTAGGCGAATCCAAAGGATGTATAATATTGAGAGATTTTGAGAGTTTCAGTTGTTCTCGTAGTCAGAACCACCCCCATAGCCAACTGCACGAGAGCAAAACAGAAGCAGAAGGAACAGTATCTACAATGCTGTTCAATAATCTTAAAAGGTGCCTAAAGTTTTGATAATTTTTTGTGACTATCAATCAAATTCATCAAAGTAGCACAAGAAACTCATCAAAACCTCATCAAAAAGTGGTATAAAAGAACAAATCATGTAAAACATATTCTCTCTAAATAATGGAGTTGATGTATGGAACTCACTAGAATAAAAAATAAAGACATAAACTCTCAATACATCTTCAAAAAACAAATTAAGCAGCATTTTTTTTATGAAAACATTCTATTTGCATATTATTCTATTTGCATATTATTGTTCCTCTATTACTCTGAAAATTCTCTCTCTGATTTGACTGTAAAATAGAATAATATATTATAAATCTAACAGTTAACTATAAACATTTACTAATCACTAGGGGCCTAAAGCAAAAAGCCTGACAAGGTATCTAGTAGGTCTTTAGCCCAAATTAATATAAGGAAAAATATGTAAATATTGTCAATGGAACTGTACATATAGGGGAGAAAAATTAAAACTAAATAAATAAGTGATAAAGAAACTCTGTCATTGGTAATATTTCTGTCCTCAGGTTTTCTGGGGTTAAATTCTTTCCTCAATTTTTAATCGCAGCCAGCTGTTTGGTCTAAATATTAATTTTTTAACCTTGCTTGGATTTACTTCTTCTCATGTTCCTTTGTTCCATCCTTGGGGACCACTGGTACAGGCACACATGCAGGGGAAATATATTGCTTGTTGTAAGCATAGTTGATCTTATACATAGAGGACTACTCGTACATGATTACATGCCTCAACTGTTCTAGCTGTTCAAGAACACACATCCACACTTTTATATGTGAGTCATCACAAATCCTTTGTGATGGACATACTGAGCTTTACCAAAAATGTCATGGTCTTGTCAATGGGGCATTTGGCAACATAAATTATATCAATAAATTCACTCATCCAATATGAGTAGGTCCTCTCATCTTTGTATTGGCCAATATATTCAACATCCACTGTATTTACTCGTAGAATGTAGCATTCCATCATCAAGATGTGGCCATGTTTGAATGTCATCTTTCCAATATTCATTGCAGAGAGTGTTAGGATCGCTCTTAATAATATCATTAGTTTGTAGCCATTGTTGGTATTCCTTCTTAATTAATACTATCAAAAATTTGTTCCTGTGTAAATTTCTTTGGAGCACCCAATTCATACGCTTTAAATGCTCTTGCCACAAGTTCAACCTTTTCCCACTCTGTCAACCGGACTCAACCCAACGAAATCCTCGTATTGAAGCTTCTTCTTTGTAGCTATAAACAGCCAAAGTAAAATGACTATTTGCAATATAATCTTCTATGAGAACATAAAATATAAACAACTCAAACTCTCAATATCTCTCAATATATACCCTTTGGATTCGCTTACATTTATAAGTTTATCTCTAACGTATCCATGTGATATAAAGGTGAGATTGACTTTGGTATCAGGTTACACTCTCGCACCTGGACATCTTTCTTCTTTCCCGACAGCTTTGTTGTATTGTTTTTAAACATGATTCTTTTGTAATGTTTTTTTTTTTAAACAAACAGAGACATAAAAGCCCTGTTTTGACGTTTCGTTGTCGTAAATCCACTGTAAACAGCTCGCCGAAAGATGTCGAAGAAATCAGCATATTTACGGATTTCCCCCAATCAGATTCCATTGAAATATTTACCAGTACTTTGAAAATACAGTCAGAATACAAAAGTTTGGACTATCTTTTAACATAGCATGAGAAAATCAACAAAACGTCCACACAAAATTCTCGCTCACTCATTAGTAAAATATATGGCAGCCATGGCTTGGCCGCGCGCTCGCCCCAATGTTTTGCACCCCCGGCAATATAGCGGAATAAACCTTGAAAGGGCCTATTCGTTGCGAACAGGGTACACAAGATACAGCAGCATCAGGATGTCAAGTGGGATCACGTGCCGACCACCGAAAACCCCGCAGATTTGGGCAGCCGCCGCGGAAGCGTTGATCATCATCAGCTATGGAACCAAGGTCCGAGTTGGCTGAGCGAAGAAACTGAATGGCCTTCAGACATAATCTTAGAGCACAACGCAGATTCCAACGCGGAGTTAATAATAAAGGTGACTCGAAGCATCTTTGCTGCAACGGCACAGGTCCATGATGATTTTGACCAACTTCTTGATGCTCACGAAGTGCACAAAGCGGTGCGAATTTGTGCATGGATTCAGAGGTTTATCAGCAACTGTACGACCCGGGCTGTAGACCGGCAAAATGATCCACTGAACGCAATCGAGATTGAACAACAGAGACGTTGGTGGACCAAGCGATCACAACTAGAATGCCAAGAAAGACTTTGCTTCAAACAAGACCAGCTGCAACTGAATCTGCAGCTAAAGAGCGAAGATATCCTTGAATGTAGAGGGCGAATTGAAGGAGAGTTTCCGATCTACTCGCCAGATAGTCATCCCTTTACGCACGGAATTGTACGACAAGCGCATCTATCGACATTACACGGTGGTGTCTCGCTGACTCTCAATACTAAAATGCAATACAACTGTCAGCCAAGCCTGTCGGTATTATTATTATTATTATTATTATTATTATTATTATTATTTAAAAATATTTTAAAACGGTAGCTCTTCAGGGCTCGTAGGCACCTGTTTTTCAAGAGGCCGTTTATTACAGTATTTACAAGCTATATAAATATAATAACACAAATATACACACAAAAACAGAGAAAACATAACAAACTTAATAATTGCATGCACTACATTTGTATCTAAAAATATCCTATCCTATTTAAATATTTACAAAGTTACCAAAAGGAATCAAGTGCCGTCAAGAATACGTTTAAATGTGTTAAGGCTAATGCCTTTTGCTGTAGTTGATAAGTCATTCCAAAGGGATGCAGCTGAATAACTGAAGCTCTTTTTCATAAAATTTGTTTCAGGTTTTCCAAGATCATAGTTGTTATTGTTACTTCTTAAATCATATCTGTCATTTATTTTAATTTTGAACATGTTGCAAATTGATGATGGCATTTTTTCGTTTCGTATTTTGTGCATAAAAATCGATTTATTGGTTTTATAGCGTTGGTTTAAAGGTTGCCAGTCTAATTCTTTTAAAACATCCTCAGAACTAACTTCATAAGTTTTACCAGTGATGATTCGGGCCGCTCTGTTTTGTAATTTCTGAAGTCTGTTTTTTAAGTAATCACAATAGTTATCTCAAACCAAGCTACAATAATCAAAATGTGATAGCACAATGGCATTATATATTTTTACTAAGGTTGATTTGGGAACAAACTGTTTTATTCGTCGCATCATTCCTATTCCTTTTGAAGCTTTTGTGACAATATTTTGGATTTGATGATTCCATAAAAGATGTTCATCAATAATTACGCCTAAAGTTTTTGATTTGTGAACCCGTTTAATGACTGACTCACCAAGCTCAATTTTAGGGTCCGTTAGTTTGAAATTCGTTGTCTTGAACCAATAATCATGTATTCAGTTTTATCTTTGTTAAGTGTAAGTTTGTTTGCAAGTAACCATTGGTGTATATTTTCTAAGTCCACGTTAATGCGTTCTTGTGTTCGTCATTATAAAGAACACACATGCAAAGAGATCAAAACAATGATCTAGAGAGTAGAGCAGAGGAGGTTGGACAGCAGGCCGCAAAGCATCATGGGTATTGAGCGCCTAATTCCGCGCGTGGCTTCATTGACTGTTGACTGTCGAGGAGTGAACATCTCTCTGACTAAACCAATATGGAAGCTTTCGAACGACAAGAGTGTCAGGCTGTGATACTTTGTGAAAAGAAACAGCATGTTATTGCTGTATTGTTGCAATCATCATTATGACTTGTGTTTTACTATATCAAGTTTACCTTTTTTAATTTAAATTGCATGGGATGTGCTGTCATTTTAGCTTTATAAATAATCCGTCTGAGAAAAGGAATTGTGTTTAATTTTATATTCCCAATAGCGAGGCTCTTCTTTCTAAGTTGGATGGCGTTAAATCTCCGTGTATCATCAACGTGAAAACAAGCGCAGTATTTAAGGTTGGTATACTACAATGCATTACAGTTATCGTGTTATTTTATAGTCAAATTTCCGCTTTGTTGTTTTTATTCTTGTACTGTAATTTTATAAATACACTGTACAAAATTATGGCATCATACTTGTGTTTATAATGCCTCTAATTTGACCCTATTGTGTGTGTATATGTACTGTGTCACTGTGATACATATGTACATGTTTTGAGTTAAACGAATTGTTTAATAAATTTTTGCTGAAGTATGATCCTGTTTGTATGGATTTTTACATATATGTGCACTGTGTATAGTTTATACATTGGTTCTCAGATGAGTCTGAAGGTATATTGTTATTCAGTTATTTGTATGTATTGTTTTATACATTTTGCTGAGTATGATGCCTGTTTGTATCTAGTTGTGGATGGTTGTGAGAATATAATTTTAGAGGTTACATGTTTGCTAATTTTAGAGATGATAATGTATCAAATAATAATTTTCTTGTTATGACTTTGTAGAAAGAGATTTACTTGAGTGGTTGGTTGGTCTTGAGCCTGTTCAGGATGGATATGATAATGAAAGAGGTGATCAAGGTGATAGGGCAGAAAGTGATGACGTTTAAGTGAGAAGATGAAAGTGATGAGGAGGAAATCGCCCACGCTGTAGCATTCAAGTGCATCGGTGATGCTCGTGAGAAAAACTACCAACATCATTTGGAAAATTAAATTAAGACATAATACCTCACTCTTCGTGAACAAGAT